GGCATTCACTGGGGACAAAAACCTTGGCTAACCCCCCTAAACAAACACAGGAGTTATTGCTTTGCGCTCGCCACCTGGCTGCGGGAGGACTCCCTCCCGGGAGACACAGACGGCTGGTTACGGGGTCTTTGGGAGCCGTGCAGGCCCCGTGCGTCCTTGGCCGGGCCGGGCCGGGCCCTCACTTGCTTCTCTCGGGCTGAAGGCTGTCAAACAAGCACTTGAGCTGCTCCTCGCCGAGGTGGATTTTATCTTCCAGCTCCCGCTGCTCGATGATGAGGGCCGACTTCATCTTCACGAAGTGCTCGTAGTCCGCCAGGCTCTCCTCGCCCAGGTAGGTGGCCAGGATGTCGCACACGATGCGCTCCCGGCGGTCCAGGTTCTCCTTGAGCTCCTTGGCGTCCTCGTGCTGTTGGATGAGGACTCTCTGCTTCTCGAGCAGCGACTGCTGCAGGGAGACAGAGAGAAGTCCGTGAAAACACCTGCCACCTTTAGGGCCAGCCCCTGATGCCACCAGGGGTTCGACGGGACCCACAGGAGACTACCCAGGCTGCCTAGCCCATGTGCTGTGGCCGTGGCAGCCTCTGGGCCCAGCCGTCCCTCCCGGCAGACACTTAGCCACCTCCCTGGCACTCCTCCCACAACCTGTGCCTCTGTTTCCACCCCCTGCCCTGAGGAGTTGACAGAAATAGGGAACAGGAACGTCATCCCAAGTGGGACCAAGAACCACAGAATTCAGGGCTGCTTAAAAGGGACAGTGGGCCACGCGAGCTTGTTTGCTTCCAATGACAACGTGGTGCGAACGCTGGAGACAGGCAAGTCCCCGGAGCAAACTCAGCGCAGGATTTCTAAGCCCCGTTGACGGGGAGAGCCTGTGAGCGCGTCTGCAGACAAGGATGTGGAGCAGGCTTTAAAGCTCTCATGGAACATGCAAGGGTGAAAAAAACACAGCGCATGCATTCCGCGGGTGCTTCGCTCCGGGATAAGCTGCGCTCTAACGCCACTGCCCACAAACCTCTGAAATGCCCTCGTAGGAGGGAGCAGAGCGGAGTAGGAGGGAGACACGGGGCTGCGAATGGGTGTCTGCAGACTGGTCCTCTTGCTCCCTGCAAGGGGCCTGTACTGGGGGACACAGAGGACCCTATTCCCAACATACACACGATCACACTTGCTGCGTGCAAAACACATGCCTCATTAGGATCATTCTTACTGTCTTGGATGGAAAGTTCAGGCCAAGGGAAATCTGGACAAACAAAGCCCTCCATGTCTTCCATCCAGGCCTGAGTCCCTGGTGGTTATCTGGGCACCAGGATGGCCACCCCATCATTGTGCCACCTGCAATGTCACAGTGGGTACTGACTCACGGACCGGGCGTGCCCGCCGATGCCATGCATTGTGTGAGTTGCCAGTCCTGGCACGATGGCGGGAAGATGTCACTGCAACCCAGCAGTGGCTGCAGACGGTTCTCAACGGCTGTGACCCACAGCCTTACAGAACACCCTGCGCCTCGGAGGGGTGGGCAAGGGAAGCCAGTGGGATCCTTCGGAAACAGACACAGCATGCGTCCGCGTAATGAGGCAAAGCAAATGGATTCCAACCAAGAGGGAAACAGGAGTGTATTAAAGACGAGTCTCAGCCGTAACCGAGCCTGTAAATGTGGCTCACGATATTAAAATCGGCCGGGCCCACCAGCGCCTGGACGCCGCGGGGAGGGGCCTGGAGAGGGGTGCTCCACATGTCCACGTCTGCCCACGTGCTTGCTTCCTCGCTCAGAAGAGGAGGGAAGCCTTCAAAAACCTAACCCTGGGGACCAGCAGTTAGCGTAATGGCTATGTCACTGGACTCCCACGTAGTCGACCTTGGTTCGAGTCCCGGACCCGGTGGCTTAAACTCACGCCAGGCGCAAGTGCGTGCGTGCCCAAGATCCTGAGAGGAGAATGGAGGAGAAGGGATTGCGGCGTGGCCATCCGCCCAGGGGGTGATTTCTCGCTTTCTGTCTCTCTGTCTCTCTCTGTCTGTCTGGCGAGCGCACGCACCCCATAGCAAAAACCTCTCCCAAAAAAAAGAAAAAAAAATACCTAACCCTGCACTTTTGGTTCATTGGCATGTTACCAAGGACTTAGCTAGGTGCCGAAGAACAGTACCCTCTCAGGAAGACTCTAGATCTTTCCATGCAGTCAAAACCACCCTCTTCTGGAGAGTAGGGTGGGGGGACCATTTTATGCTTCGTCCGTGAGAGCAGTTAAGATGCTTTATTGGGACCAGCAGATGGCGTAATGGTTACATCACTGGACTCCCACATAGTCACTGTGGTTCAAGTCCCAGACCCGGTGGCTTAAAATTCATCCCAGGCATGTGTGCATGCGTTCCCAAAATCCCAAGAGGAGAACGGAGAAAATCCCACGAGGAGACAGTAGACGAAGGTATTGCGACATGGCCAACCCCCACCCCCCCTGGGGTTGATTTCTCGCTTTTGTCTCTCTGGTGAGCACACATGCTCTATACCAAAAGTCTCTTTTTTTTTTTTGGGGGGGGGGTAGAGATTTTCACTATATAACTGAAAGCCGGTAAGAAATGCCCTGAAAGTGGGACCAGCATTTAGTGTAATGGCTATGTCGCTGGACTCCCATGTAGTTGACTGTGGTTCGAGTCCCAGACCCGGTGGCTTCAATTCACGCCGGGCGCATGTGCGTGCGTGCCCAAGATCCCAAGAGGAGAATGGAGGAGAAGGGATTGCGGCGTGGCCATCCTCCCTGGGGGGTGATTTCTTGCTTTCTGTC